TCTATCTATCTATCTATCTATCTATCTATCTATCTATCTATCTATCTATCCATCTATCTAAATTAGGACAATGCATATTAATCAACATGTCAGCATTAAGCATCATTGTAAAGATGCCGGAGTTAATACAACAGCTGGGTTTCATCCATTGTCCTAGGGCAGGTAAGAACAAGAAGCATTGCACAAAACAAAGAACAGAGAACAATATAAACATCACCTAAAACACAAAATTTTATTTATTTACCGTTATTTTACCAGGCAAATCCCACTGAGATCTCAGATCTCTTTTTCAAGGGCGGCCTGGGCCTGAAGGCAACCTATTGTACATGTTTTTGTGTACTAAATAAGAAACACACACTCAGTTGCCTTTATCTGCTGAGAAAACCACCTTTAAACCCACAAATCCCACCACAGTTTGCTGTTAATCTTCCACAGATGCAGATATTCTCCCGTCTCTCAGGGTGTGATTCAGACTGAAGGTTTGATACTAATATAGCAGCGGCCTCATTTGCTCCTTAGCAACAAAAAGACCGCAGGGAGGACCACTTTAACTGTTGCCTTGGATGTAGAAGCAGAAAAATCTTGTTCACCAGACAGAGATGTTGGTTTTCATGGTGGAAACGGCTCAAGTGTGGGCAGGTTTGATAATTACCTTTAGGAAAAGACAGTTTTTATAAAGACTGCTTCTGTGATTCATRACTTTTTATCAAAAAAGTACTCTCACTTTAATTATCACTACAGTATCAACAAAGATGAGTCAAAAAATCTGAGTAATACAAACAAAACCATGATGAATCACCTTCTGCAAACTAATTACCTTTAAAGTAGATTATTTTTAACATTTAAAACTTTCTCATCATGTCAGTTCAGACATGGATGATTATAAGTTGATGATAAAGTAATCAAAGGTTACAGTCTTCACAAAATGAACCTACACTCTGCTGCGGTTCTGTGATGACGGCTTCATTTAGGAAGCTTACAYTGTTGAAGGAGTGTGATTGATGAACAACCAGAGGCAGATTAAAGGAGGGTTTGTTTTAGCAGCCGTGTTGCAGAACTGTTGTGAAAGAGGCTCGTGATACAAGTTCAGCAACTAATGGTTGAAAAAACTGTTTCAAAAGAGTGCGTCTAAAAAATAATATGGGCAATCACTAGTTATTTTTGCACAGACATAACTTCAGTTTCAAGGATTTGGATCCTAATTTTCCAACTTTATCCTTCAACTACAGMRGGTAAAATAAGTATTGAACACGTCACCATTTTTCTCAGTAAATTTATTACTAGAGGTGCTAATGACACAAAACAACTGTCTGATTTTCCTACCTGGCCCATTTGATGAGGTATGGCAGGTGGTTGAGCAGACTGAAGGTATAGAAGGAGTAGCGGATGATCTCAGTGACCGTCCAGGCTGCGACAAACAGCAGCACGCTGTCCTCACTCTGGACCTGCACAAACACACACAGGATGATGGGAGGCAGACGGGGAAACAGCCAGGCCTGCATCAGGCCTTAGTCTGCTTGAAGATAATCCAGTTTTCATTAAAGGAACATGCTGCTTGGTTTAGAWGCGCAGACCACACTGCATCCGCAGATATTAGGTAAAAACAATACAAATATGGGGTTAAAGCACACTTTTTATAACATAGGTTTTTTTGTCTTACATTCACAAGAAAAGGGAGAGTTTGAAAGAGAAAATGTCAGTACTGCATCATACAACATACAAAAAGATCAGAAATGACCAGCATACATTATACTACTGCAAATATTAACTCTAACATTCCTGCAAGACTCTACTTACACATGTACTGCTCCCCGGTCTAAAAACAGGGCAAACAACTGGTCACTTTGATACAAAAACAAGTTTAACAGCTTAATAGACCTATAAAAACCACTCATTGTACCTCTCTGACACTGTGAGTGACAGCCCATGTGAGGAAAACCCGAGACATGACCTGAAACCCAGTCAAAACCACAGAGGACGGTACGATTCCTGCGTGAACAGAAACATACAGTCAGATAAGGAAGGAGTTAGCGTTCAGCTGCACACAGAATAAATGTGAGTTACAGTAGCTGTGTTTCCATTACAAATGTGCACAAAACTTTGTCGATATTCTGTTAATGTTGAAAAAACACAGTTTCACAACTGTGATGTTTCCATGAAGTAAGAAATGCTACTAAAGACACGTGTGAATATGTTTGTTCTAGGGCTGCAGCGATTACTTGAAATAATCGATGACGTCGATTA